TCTCCCTTCACCCACTTTTCGGTTGTCTGTCCCCCAGGGAGGAGGTCACATATAGTTCCTTGTAATCAGTTCCTTCTTTCCTACCCATTCTCCCTTTACCCTCCCTGTTTCGTCACTCACACTACTGGTTCTGTAGGGCTCATCCACCCTGGATTTTCAGTTCCTATCTGTACCAGTGTACATCCTCTGGTCTAGCCAGACTTGCAAGGTCGAATTCCAGTCATGGTAGTGGGAACAGGGAGGAAACATTTAGGAATTAGGAAAGTTGTATTTCTCATCGTTGTTACATCGCACCCCGACTGGCTCATCTCTTCCCCGAGACCCATCTGCAAGGGGATCTCCAGTGAGGGCCTTTAAGTTTGTCCTTAGTTTTCATTAATGATCCTTATAACTCTAAGTTTTATATTTAGGTCTTTTTCTTAATATTTAGGTGTCTAATACATTTTGAGTTCTGTATAGATAGTTTTTAAAAGAGTGTAATGTTGAAGCAGACATTAAAAAATATTTAATTAGTTGAGGAAAACTATTGTTTTATGTTAAGGAAATTTCAGGGGATAATTTTGGTTTATGATTTAAAAAATTATTTGCAGAGCAATCATTTCACCCATATGCCTCCAGAAAGTTTGGAGTTCTTGAGAATATAAATTTTTGTCCTGAATGTTTGCTCTTTTGGTCAGGATTCTTATATAGAATCTTTGATCAAAATGAGGAACTCAATGTTTTGTGTATGATTTTGTACTTCCCAAGGCTACCCATTTCTTAAAAAGGTTTGGGAATCTTGGGAGAAAAGTAGTCTAAACCCTTGGGCAGAGATTGAATACAGCCAGTGTGCCCAACCATGATGTTGCTAACTAAAATTATTTTTTTCTTACTGTGTGCCAGGCTCTATTCTAAAGACTTTATACATAATAACTAATTTTAAAAAGGAAAAAGAAACCTCCCAATAATTCTGAGGTCATTTATAAAATAAATAGGCTATAATCTTTCATCATTTATAAAATGACATCATTTATTTTATAAATGACTAAACTGAGGCATGAACAATATAATTTTAACTTGCTGGAGATTACAGTATTCAGTGGCAGAACTGGGATACCAATCCTCTTAACCTCTACATTATATTGCAATGATAGTATAGGAAAAAAGAGCCCAAATTCTGTTAGACCTGGTTTTCAGTGTCACATGGACAATTTACTAGCTTGTGGCCTTGGGCAAGGTCCCTTACTTCATGACCTAAGTTTTCTCGTTTAAAAATTAGTGCAAAAATTCACATGTACTGTTGTGAGGATTAGAGATACTGTATGCCAGGTTCATGGAAGCTCAGTAAATAGGAATAGCTGGTGGATTCATTTTGTGCCTCCTCCTAGGAACTTGGGTGGGCTCTGGCATTCAAGGGGAATGAATGAGATTTAGTCTACTCTCCTTAGCCTTGCACCAGAACTATAGGGCTATGCTAGGGAACTTAATTTCTTAACTTCAGGGGAGGGTTTTATGGGGCCATTGGGGTATATGAGTTGAGCAGTGACCGACATTTATTAGTAACCGTGGGTCCTTGGTGGGGCAATGGGTTAACTGCTCAGCATTCAAACTGCTTGGGGTAGGGGTGCTAATCCTCACAATTTCTTCCTGTAAAGATTATACCTAAAAAAAACATTGGGGCAGTTTGGCTCCAGAGTATACGTTTGCTATGAGTTTGAATTAACTGTACATAACTACAGCAAATATGAGTGGATGAACTGAGTGGTACTTAACATTAAGCTGTAATTTGGGTCCTTGAGCCTGAGAAAGCAGACAGTAAATTTTAGTTATCAACTTCCCTTTTTTCTCTGCAGTCTGGAATTTGAGAATCAGAAGACTCGTTTAGGTATCCAGTTGGATTTTGAAAAGAATCAACTGAAGGAAGACCAAGATAAAGTGCACATGTGGGAGCAGACAGTGAAAAAGGATGAAAATGAGATAGAAAAGCTCAAGAAGGTAAGGAAGGAGAAGATAAAAAGGTTAAAGATTGGGAGGAAATATTGGAAGAAGAATGATGGATAGACAGCTGATATCAATAATTTAGGAATCTAATTTTGTAAGAAATATATTAAGACCCAAATAAGGGGAAAAATGATTTAATGCCATAATAGTTTAAGAAAATATTCAAATGGCCTATAAACACGTATAAATAATTTATTAAAATCAAAGAAATTCAAATTAAGGCAACAATCCATTGTAATTTGTTTCCTATCATAGCAGTTTAACTAAGATTAAAACATTCTCAGTATTGGTCCCAGTGTGTGACACCCGTACTCTTATGCATTATAGCACCATCTGTCTGGAGTACAGTGATACCTCAGTTGTCCAACGGCTCCAAGCTTGAACTTTCCATTACTTGAACAGCGAAGTTCAAAAAAATCTGCTAGGTGTTCAAACTGCTGTATAGTTGAACTGAAAATCTAACTTGAAAAACTTGTATGGGCTGAAAGTGAGTCACGTTGCATCCAGCCTCAGACACAAAGGGGTCAAGCTTCAGTCTAAGCACCACTCAATATGTAGTGCTTGTGTTAGTGCATTTGTCATTGTGCCTTTTTTGTACTTTATTTGCATAAAATAGCGCATTAAAAAACATGGCTCCAAAGAAAGTTAGTGACACCAGCAGTAAAGCTAAGAGGATAGTTAAAAAAAGAAATCATTGATAAATTTGAATCAGGTCACTTCTTTTGTGATTTGGTGGCTGAATACAACATGGCTAAGTTGACATCAACATTTTTAAGGGAAATAAAGGTGATTAAGCAGCGAATGCAGCAAAAGGTATGAATTGTTAACCAAGAAACAAAGAACCCAAACTATAGGCCAGGATGAAAACTTACAGTTAAAAAAAAGAAAAGAAAACTTATAGTTAATTTGGATAAATCAGAAATAACTTGATGGTGATAATGTATCTGAGGCAGTGATGTGTGAGAAGGCTAAAAGCCTCCATAGTGATTAAAAGTCCTGGAAAAATTAATTTATAAGTATAATTTTGGGGCATCAGAACAAATTATTTGGTTTTCCATTGTTTTTCATGGGAAAAGTATGTTCAATTCTTGAACTTTTCAGTGTTTGAACATGAATTTGGAATGAATTGAGCTCGACAACCAAGATACTACTGTTTTCAGAATGCATATCTACCTTCTAACTCGGTTATACCTTATGAAATAATCCAGAATAATGGCAAAGCTTTGTGCACAGAAATGGATGCTTATTGCAAGCATTATTTTGTTCTAAAGTGGAAAAATACCAATACCCTTTTGGAATTAAGGCTTTAGTAAATTCTGCTAAATTCATATGTGTATTTGTGTAATTTAGTGATCTTAAAACTTTAGATATACCGTCCCCTTTTAAAGAAAAAGTATTCCCTAAGATTCCCAGTGTTGGCTCAAAAACAATTTAATATTACTTAAACATATACAAATATATATACTCTACACAACCAGAAGGGCAACAGCTTCCTAATTCGATATTAGCGAGATTAATGAAATTCAAATTACCCTACACTGTGAAATCACTTCAACAAATGACAGTGTTTTGCTGAAACCACATCACTCTCCTCAGTGTCTATGCTACTTACTGTTACATATCCATTCCTTTTAGTTTAGTGAACCTATAGCACTGTGTTATTTGTTTTTATTAATGTCACATTTCCATTTTTATTCAAAAATATCTAAAAAGTACATTGTTGGAATAGGAAAGTAATGAAATGTTTTTTTTTTAAATAAAAAAACAGTATCAGAACATATTTTCATTTTATATCACCAGGACGTAGGATAAATAAATCCTTGTAGGGGGAAAGGTGCTTTTTTATATACTTCGGATGATGTTTACAACATAAGACTTTCAAGATGAACCTAAGAACAGTATTCACACATAACTCATACCACCCCTACATACCAGCCAAATATCAGTGTGTTTGTGGAAACTGACAGGGGAAATGCTTTGGAATTTGTTGTTGCTGTTGTTTTGCCAAGTTACCTCGGTTCTCATTCTATGTGTTTTTAACCATGACTTTTATTTTTTTAAATTTTATTGGGGGCTC